ATATGAAAATGTTCTTTGTTGAAAATACTTTCATAAGAGTATAAATTTATTAACTTTTACATAAATATATTAGTTGAATAATGAATCCAAGTCAAAGTGGGCAAACTAAAAAGGGAGGGAGGTAGTATTATTTTACGACCTTTTGACATTTTTAGGCTATAGATGTTATTAAATAAGATTTTGCCCCATGAATGGCAATGCTAGATCCACAGTCCACTCCTGAATACTCTCATTGGAAAATCTTGCATCCACCCCTCATACTATACATTATCTATATGTATCAAATTAGAATATGCGATTAAGTACTCCGTAATTGAAATAATTGATAATAATGAAATAACGACATAGCCCAATCAAAGGGCATAGCTGGGGCCTGGGGTCAACCTAGGCCCCGGCCACCGGAAATTTTAAAAATGCATATATATTTTTGAACTAAAAAATTCTGTGTAACTTTTTCCTCAAAAATATTCTTTGTATTGTTCAAGTCAAAGTGCCCCGATTCCAATTTATTTTCAAAAATAAATTGGAGTAGAGAAGAGTAGAGAACAGTCGTTTGGATCGCACATAGTTTAATGCTGTACTTATTTTCAATTTACATCTCACAGCTTCATATGGTGAGTATTCTGGCTGAGCCAATTCAGCCAAACACAAATAATTGAAGAAGCCTTCTCGATCAAAGAACACAACGTCAATTGAGAGCATAAAGGTGACGTTATTGCTGTAAGGCGCTTGGAATTGCTCGATACATCAGTTCCCTTCCGTTCTGATATATTTTTGTTCTTGCTTTTTGTTGTACTACCTCCGTTCCATTAGGATTGAGACGAGATCAGAAGGTGTCACGATTATTAAGAAAAATGAGTTTGTGTGCTTGATATTAAATTGATAAAGCTAGTAAGAATAAAGTAAGAATGATTTAGAGCCACACAATCTTTACCAAATTTGATATGAGACAATCTTAGTGGGACTTTCCGAAAAGGTAAAATGAGACAATCTTACCTGGACGGAGGGAATAAGTGTTATTGCGTGTGTGTACCAGCAGTGCATCTGATGATCCTAAATTGAGATTCATAGTGGTGAAATTATTAGGTATTAAGATAACAAAAAATCTATTGGTACACATTTTTCACACACACCTACACACTCATATTTGTGAAGAGTAATTTTTTTGTCTGTATACAGACATAACGTATTTTCAAACATGTTATGTCTGTATACACACAAAAAAATATTCTTCACAAACATGAGTGTGTAGATGTGTGTGAAAATGTGTACCTCAAGCTGGATTGATTATCATAAAAAAAGAAAAAGAAGCCTTCTTCTCTCAGTTGATTGTGTGAGACTCGAGAGTTCCGTTGTAGTAATTTCAAATGAAAAGATGGACTCGAGACTCGAGAGTGTGTTTAGTAACAACTAACAAGGGCATGATAGGAATTACATAGTATGAAATTATGTGTGTGTGATTAGTAAAGGAGTTGTAAATAGAATTTCCGTGAAAACACAATAGCTAAAATTGCAAAACTTTAGTAGAGGTCAACACCTCGATCTAAAATGTCATTTCCTTCAATTCAATCTTGCTGCAACTACAATCTCATCTATAGATTTAGACTAACATCATAACCCATAACATCCATGCATTCCCAGCCCCTACAAAAGATTGCTAATAACCAAAATAATTTCGCAGTCCGATTGCGCATTAAAACTGGCATCTTTGAGCTGAGCAGGCTCGGGTTTCCCAAGATCCTTAAACCCATCATCACAAGTGCCAATATCATCCAGAGCAGCAGAAGCCTTCACATTCATTCCGGTATAATCTCCGTTCTTCAACGCATCTGAGCACTCCCCGAGCATATCGATGGAGTCCCCATAGTTCTCCAAGCAGGAAGACAGCGCCGACTTCTCCTTCGGGTCAGTGGACTTGTCCAGAAGGGACTGAACGAGGGTCTTCCCTGATTTGGCTTTACTTGTTGTGACATCAATGGAGATGAACCCTAATCCTTTTAGGTCAGCGTTTTTGGAACGAGGGTCGGATCTTAGGGCTTTCTGACAGATGGAAGAATGCTGGGTTTTAGCACAAACAGTGTCTATCAGATCTGCATTCACGTTTCTGGTGATGAGAGCTACCATGAAAGCAAAGAAGATTGGGAGTTTGTGATAGTTGGAGGCTGCCATCTTTTGCTGCAGGTGTGTGTTTTCACTTGTTGATTAACACTCGTGGGTTTATATATACTAATTAAGTAGTTCTTTGTAGGTGTGAAAATGTGATCATGTTTTGATCTTACTAGTTAATGCGCATTCAATTCTTTCCATGTATATATCTTTACACGTTTTTTATGTTTGAATTTTTTCATGATATGCAAAATTTGGAATGAATTCATTAATAGTAAATGATCATAATGTGGGTATACGTTTTTAGCGTTTTAGAATGTTTTCTTATAATCAGTTTTAAATATTTTGATGCTCTAATCTAGATTATCAGAATTAGGATGTTTTTAGAATCTCTAGTTTGTTCTTCCAAAAAAATATCTACTTTAATATATTTGATGTTTTTAAGTCTAGTCGTCTGATCTAGCTAGTAAATGCGTGATGTATATATGTCTATTTTACTCGCCTAATTCTCGTATACTCTATTTTGTTTAATTCTAGACTGATTTAGTGTCGCCTATTTAAGTATAGTCTGATACTCCCTTCGTCCCAAAAAGGTTCGTCATATTGAATTTTCTTGGTCAATGATGGAAAACTTTGGACGGTGATTTTAATTATTATATTTGTATATATTTTATAAAGTTTATACTTTTATGACAATATTTTGAATAATTAACATTTTGATATAATTTTCAAATTCTAAATAATTTCGTAATAAAAAAATATCATTGGTTAAAGTTGATTGTCATTGACTAAGAAAAGCCAATTTGGCGAACCTTTCGGCATGAAGGAGCTGAGGGAGTATGATTTATTTAAATTGGGTCTGATATGATATGGGACTTGAACTAGTCCAATTCAAGACAATACTTCACTCCGGAAGACTATCAACGTACTTAATCCTACAATTTGCTATTGTTATTACTAATAATAAGTATTACTTTGTACTTCATTGTTCATTGATAACTAGGAGATTTGGGATGTGTTTAGTGATTTTAGTCACTATTTTGTCTCGTCTCAATTGAGAGTTTGTTTCTTCTTTGAAACCTCAGGGTGTTGATCAATAACTTATGTGCGACCTATCTAATAAGTTAAAATGGAAATTATTTTTGTTCGATAATGTTCACCTCATCCCTAGTTGCTGGTTATGGGGTAGACCAACTCTTTATTATTTGACAATTATTTTAACTTTTTCACTTTTCATCCATTTTTTTAAAAGTCCCATTTTAGTTTGCCATTTTTTACTTTTCCAAACAAAGGTGGTGAAATTTGACCAATTATTTTAACTAATATATTTATGTACAAAATAATAATATCATACTTTTGACAAAAAACATTTTCTTATCATTTTCATATTACCAATATGTCTATATATAAATATATAATCGGTCAAAGTTATACGTCGTTGACTTGAAAATGAAAAATAGCTAAAATCGTCATAAGAATTCAAAAGTAGATTGAATTCGCAGAAACTTCATCTACGTATAAATTGTATACGTAGGACATTTGGGATGTTTTAGTTAGTATTTTAATTTGTCTCGTCTCCATAGATAGATTCAAAGTTTAATTTGTTTCTTCTATGAAATCTCAGGGTGTTGATCAATCACTTATGTGGGACCTATATATATATCTATTAAGTTGAAACGGAACCTCAACCCTTAATTACGGCCGTCCAACCGGTCCGGACCTAAATATTTGGAATATGGACTGGATCATACCGGAACCATAAACTTCAAATCATCAAATGTATGAGCCGAAGATTAGGCTGGTATGTAAACGGTCCGGATACGGTCTGGTCTGGTTTTCCTGTCTGGACCGTAATTATCGGGGGCAGAGGGATGACATATTTTGGTTATATTCTTTATCTTGTGAGAGTATTTCTAATTAAGGACATTTTCACACAACAATATTTCATTTCTCAACTATTTGAATGTAAACGAACGAATGTTACAAACAAAAGTTTATAATATATAGAGACGATATCAATGGAATATATATATATATATACTACCTCCGTTCTCTTTTAGTTGCGACGTTGGACTTTTTGCACTATTCACATATTCTACTTTGACTACATTTTATTAATCGATGTATTACAAATTAAATTCTTAAAAAATATTGTTAAATTCTTCTCTTTCTAAATTTTCAAAATATGATTTTTTTTAAATTTTTTACTAATTTAATACGGAATGAAAGATATTAATGGTCAAACTTGTGCGTTGACAAACGTGAAATGTTGATTGTTGCAATTAAAAAGGAACGGAGGAAGTATATATATATATATATATATATATATATATATATATATATAGAGAGAGAGAGAGAGAGAGAGAGAGAGAGTTGTTCTCATCAGGCCGGCCTGACGGGCTGCCCCGTCCGGCCGAGCCCGTTTGGGCACCTTCCCGGTGGAATTTTTTGATGAAATTTTTTGAGCATGTTCCTCATCAAGTCTAGTTTGTCCATACCAAATTTCAACTCAAAATTCCATCGGGAAGGTCGTCAAATGATTTTTGCAAGTTAACTGGTCCGGAAAATACATATTGCAACAATCAACATTCTATTCTATATACTACGTATATAATAGAATTCGTATTGTTTTGTTTTGAATGTAAATGTTTTGTTTTATTATTATAACAGCAATAATCCCAAATTAATATAATATCGATCACTACATACAAGAATTCCAGAAATCAGTGACAAAAATCAGTTGCGGAAATCATTATTCTAGTGTAGTACACTAGTACGCACTATGAAGTACTTCGTATATATATATGAGCTAGTATAGTACTATACTACGTATACTATACCAATACATATATATTGATGATCTATATATAAATAATGTAATAATAACATAATGCATGCAAAATTTATTGATTTCGGCTACTTAAACTACACCCACTCCCCAAAAACTTGACATAATAATATAGTGGAAAGTAAAGCAACAAATCAGTATTAATCAATTAATGAATCTCTTCGCCTTAAAAAGAAGATTACTAATAACCAAAACAATATCGCAAACTCCTTGCAAATTAGAATTAGCAGTTTCGAGTTGCCGAGGCTCAGGCTTTGGCAAATCAGCAAACCCATCTTCGCAGGCCCCAATACTATTCCCCGCAGAAGAAGCTTCGAAGTTCAAGCCTCCATAATTCCCAGACCTCAACGACTCCGAGCACTGCCCCAGATAAAAAACGGAGTCATCATACTTTTCCAAGCAGGAGGAGATCGCTGACTTCACTCTCTGGTCAAAGTTCACATTCAGAAGGCCCTGAGCTAGGGCCTTTCCTGAAATGGCCTGCTTTGTGGCAATGTCGACGGAGACGAGCCCGAGCCCCTTGAGGTCGGCGGTCGTGGAACGAGGGTCGGATCGTAGGGTTTGCTGGCAGGAGGCGGGACGAAGAGTCTTGGCGCAGACGGTGTCTATGAGATCACCATTAACGGTCGTGAAGGAGACGAGAGCGAGAAAGAAAGAAAAGATGATTGGGAGTTTGTGAGAAGAAGATGTCATCTTTTGATGGTTCTTTGTGTTTTGTAGGTAGTTTATATTCTATTTATAGCTGCAAAAATGGAACCAATTCCAAGGTGTGATGTAGTCATCTTCCAATGAATGCGTACTTAATTCTTGCTTAACCGGTTTCTAATTTATTCGGATTTTTCTCGAGCGTTACATAACTAAATTGAACATTCACATTCTCAAATCAAAAAAATTAGTCTATATGATTCCTATGAATCTATGATAATTAATGATGTCCTTATTTTACGCCAAAAGAATTTGTATACTACTCCCTCATCAGATCGATCATATCATCCCTAATTAAGGGCTAAGTATATACGAAATATATCTTCTCAAAAAAAAAAAATACGTACGTAGTATATATGAAGTATGTGTGCAGGCATGTTTCTTGATTTACCTAAATAATTGTTTCATTTTCTTTTTTTAAGATACAATACAGAACTGTTCATTTTCTTTAATTAATAAAGTGTAAACAACTACTTCGTATTACTATACAACACCAAAACCGCATACTTTTCCAACCTTGCATATGAAGAAAAAAATTAGTTATCATCTTGAAATAATTATTTATAGAGCTAAATGAATTGAGACCACTCGAAAGTTAAAATATATATATACCCATCCCGTCTCAAATTGAGTTGCAAATTTGATTTTTTAGGTCAAATAGTTTCATTTAATTGACTTAATTAGAATATTAATTATACTACCTTCGTCCCTAAATAAAAGTTCATAATTGACTTTTTGCATCAAACTCGTTAAACTTTGACCACTAATTACTTAAAATTAATATTATTTTATCCCAAAAAAATATTTAATTTGCTTCATTGTAATTGTAATATTTGAGTATTATTCAAATGTCAGTTTATTATAGATTTTATAGGTATATATTTATAGATAATTACGGACTAGAAAAGTCAAACACGTACTTTTATTTAGGGACAGAGAGAGTATTAAATTATAGTTTGTGAATATATAAATTTTAATTAATTAAAATTGATTTAATTATCAATAAAGAGGATTTAACTTTAACATTTAGTGAAAAAAAATATTGACTTTGCAAAATAATTTGACATGAATGTAGTATTTATTATATGTACACACACACACACACACACACACATATATATATACAGAAAAGATCAGGTCCCTCCGGAGGGACGGGAGGGACCGTCCAAACTTTACTGTTTGGGGCGGTTCCCGGTGGAATTTTTTGATGAAATTTTTTGAGCATGTTCCTCATCAAGTCTAGTTTGTCCATACCAAATTTCAGCTCAAAATTCGACCGGGAAGGCAGTCAAATAAATTCTTGAAGGTTACTGCACATCTGCGCATATATAAAGTGCAGTAAGTTTCAAGAATTTATTTGACTGCCTTCCCGATTGAATTTTGAGCTGAAATTTGGTATTGACAAACTAGACTTGATGAGGAACATGCTCAAAAAATTTCAGCAAAAAATTCCACCGGGAACCGCCCCAAACAGTAAAGTTCGGACGGTCCCTCCCGTCCCTCCGGAGGGACCTGAGCAGTCCTCTATATATATATGTGTGTGTGTGTGTGTGTGTATATATATATATATATATATATATATATATATATATTGAATGTTTTAAAAGTGCTACCAAAAATATGTATAGAAACGATGCCCATTTAGGATGTTTTTACTTGGATTGTTTTCAATCTCATACCAGACTAGACCAGATCGGTTCAAACCAGAATAGATCAGTTCAAACCGGACCAGACTTCCAAAGTTATAAGATACACAGAGACTATACATTTACCATATCATATCAGACCAAATCAGACCTGCCAGACCAGACTTAAACAAACCATAACATACCAGATCGACTAACAAATTTCAGTCCAAGTAAAATCATCTTTATAAAATTTACTTATTCAACAAAGTTTTCCATTCCGATAATGTCTGGTAAATGTCTGGTCTATGTGTATTTTATAACTATGAAAGTCTGGTCAGATCTGATCTGGTCTGGGACTGAAAACAGTCCAAAAGAAAACATCCTTAATAGACGAGTGTCAAATACAAAATTAACATAGGATCAAATATGTTCTGAATGTCACGTAGCTATTAGCAACATGAAGTGTTTAATATATATATTATGTATAAATTTAATGAAAAATCGTCTAAGTCTCATATAAATTAGCGTTTATTTCACCTAGCTACATATAAATTATCAACTCAAGTATTGTCTCAAAATTGGAAGTAATTCGACTGTTTTAATCCTAGACCAGACCAAACTTATGTAGTTATAAATTACACAGAGACCTAACATTTACTAGATCAGTAATTCAGACCAAACAATATTAGATTAGAAAATTTCAGTCCAAGTGAAAACGCCCTAATATATCTTTATGACTCCTACAGTGGCGCAATTATATATGGGAAAAAATCGTACACAATAAATCATTGCCAAGATAGAAATTATAAATAGGGATTGGACTTCATTTCCATGAGTAAGGATGAAGAAACACGAGTTTGTGTGTTTTTTTTAAAGACGAGTTTGTGTTTTTGTGTGTTCATTTATCTATGGCAGGGGCGGAGCTAGGGGAGTACCATCCCTGACCTAGGCCAAACTTTAAAAATATCTATATTTTTAGTGTAAAAAATTTAGTGTAGATTTTTTTTCAAAAATATTCTTTGTACCGGTCAAGTCTAGTTCAGTCCCCTGGCTCCGTCCCTGAATTCTATGGCATTCATTTATGGAGTGTTGAAAGATGATCTAAACAGTATCACTATCACAAATAATGCAAAAACTCTTATAGCGATAGACGCATTTCAATATCTCATCACTTTCAAGTACGTAGGATCATTTTCGATTTTATGATAGATTTGTGTATATAAATTTTTGTGGTCAAATTACTCAAATATATTAATTGAAAGACATTATCGCTAATTTAAAACATGTCCAAAATAGGGATGTCATAACCTTTTTAATTGGGGCGGATATAGGATGTTTTCTTTTGGACTGAAATTTGCTGGTCTAGTCTGGTCTGGTCTGTTTAAGTCTGGTCTGGTCTGGTCTGAACTAGTCTGGTCTGAACTAGTCTGGTCTGGTCTGGTATACGTCTGGTCTCTGTGTATTTTATAACTACGGAAGTCTGGTCTGGTCTGTTTAAGTCTGGTCTGGTCTAGTCTGTTTAAGTCTTGTCTGGTCTGATCTGGGACTGAAAACAGTCCAAAAGAAAACATCCATAGTATATTTTAGTTATAATGGTAATCTTTATTATGATTTTGTGAGAATATTTCTGATCAAGTTCATTTTCGTACAGCAATAAAAGTTTAATGTGTAGATATTGTTTTGTTACGAAGTTCTTCGCGTCTCAATTTTTTGAATTTAAGCGAATTGAATGTTACAAACGAAAGTGTATACTACATACCTCGTACTCCTAACACGATAGAGACAATATAGTGGAATTATATACTACGTATAATAATAGCAATAATCTCAAACTAATTCAATGTAATATAATTCGGATATCTTCTGAGTATTATTCTATGATCGTATTTCTTTAAATTATAACCGCTACGCATGCATGCAAAATTTATTGATTGTGGCACCACTACAACGTTATTGCCTTCTAAAACTACACCCACTTCCTAAAACTTGACATAATATAGTGGAACACAAAGCAATCACTATTAATTAATTTAATCACTCTCTATGCCTTCAAAAGATTGCTAATAACCAAAATAATATCACAAATTCCTTGCAAATTAGAACTAGCATCTTTCAGCTGAGGAGGCTCAGGCTTAGAGAAATCAGAAAACCCATCATCACAAGTCCCAAAGCTATCCAATGCAGAAGAAGCTTTGATATTTAAACCTCCATAATCTCCAGACTTCAAAGCATCTGAGCACTCCCCAAGAGTATCAATGGAGTCCCCATAGTTCTCCAAGCAAGAAGAGAGTGCTGACTTTACTTTCTGATCAACGGCCCCATTCAGAAGGGACTGGACTAGGGTCTTCCCTGAATTGGCCTGCTTTGTTGTGATATCAATGGAGATGAACCCTAACCCTTTAAGGTCAGCTGTCTTGGAACGAGGGTCAGCTCTTAGGGTTTGCTGGCAGAAAGGAGGACGTTGAGTCTTAGCACAAACAGTGTCTATTAAATCTCCATTCACGTTTGTAATGGAGATTAGAGCTACAAAGAAAGAAAAGAAGATTGAGAGTTTGTGGGAAGAAGATGCCATCTTTTGCTGTTCTTGATTTTTAGTAGCTAGTTTATTTGCTATTTATAGCTGCAAAAATGGGATCAACCTGTAATCTTCTAATTAACGGGTACTTAATTCTTACTTAATATATTTGAGTCAGTTTCCCCGTTTCTCAAATCAAATCAGTTATGTACCATAAATATTCATAATCATAATGATTGGTCTCTATGATTATTGATGATGTCCTTACTTTACGCCAAAATGATTAGTATGGTACTCCCTCGGATGATATAATTTAATCCCTAAGTGTATACGAAGTATATATGTCCATATCTCCTTTTCATAATGTTCCTAACTCCGAAGTAATCATCTCATGTTCCTTTTTGAGATATATAATACGGAGTATTCCGTAATAGACTTTATAAAATGTACACGGCTTGCATTGATGCATATGAAAAACTGTTTCTTTATCATATTAAAATAATATGTTTTCATTTGCGAAATAATTTTCTTAATTGATCGAAGAGAGGGACAGAGCTACATGTTGGCTTGTGGTGTCAAATACGATAGTACGAAGTATATATTTAGTATATACTATCGTATATACAAATATTTTTTATGGGTGTGATTCCAGAACGATATTTAACGTGAGATACCCACATTTAAATCAATGTGATCTGAAGCACAAATCGAGATCATCTGATGCACTTTTTAACTTTTGCTCATACCAAGTCAATATTAAATAATTGCGGTGAAATTTTTGTAAATAATACGCTTAACGCGAAAAAGTGCAACTAGTGAGCCTCATCGTGCATCATATTGGGGTAAACTTGGATGTTCTCACATTCTCATACTTCCTATGATGATATTAAGCATTGTTCTCATTTGATCTTTATTCTATTTATTACTCCGTATTTATTACATGTATGCATATGTGTATTGAAAGTTTTGAAAAACAAAGTCAATCTGTTATGATATGTATCTACAAAGAATATGATTAAAAGTTTCTTCTTGTGAGAAAATTAGAAGTGAAACACTAGATAGTTTTATTGTTAGTAAGTATGGATTCCATTTCCTTAAATAAGTAAACATGGATTTTATATGTTCGGAATGTAATTTTACTTGATGGATGACTGTCACATACAAATTTAACATAGGATCAATAAATCTGAACCCAAACACTTCTTTAGGTGAATGCTATGTAGCTATTTACTTATTAACCCCTACGTGAAATTTATTACATACGATAGTACGTAGTACTTGTATATATTAAATCAACAATTTTTCGGTCTCCTTTAAAGTTTAAACTACGAAACACGAAGTAATATTTATCTCACATCGTCACATGTACATGATTTATCAATTCAGGTAATTGTATCAAAATGATTTCGATCTTTTGACACTAGACATCGACTAATTTTGACATCTCTAATATGTTATGACTCCATCACTGCACATAACCATGTATGGGAAAATCTTTTTGTACACAATATATTATTTCCAAAGAAAAATGTAAATAGGGAATTCATTTTCATGAGTGAGGATGAAGAAACACGAGTTTTGTGCTTTTTGTTTACACCCTACATCCATTATTATTATGGAATGTTAAAAGAGTATCTAAATAGCATCACATGTGTGAATTATTAACACAAATAATGCAATAACACTTATAGCGATAGACTTGTTGGCTTGTTGCAATTCAATAGCTCATCACTGTCAAGTACGACGTACCATTTTTGAATGGATTATGGTTGATATATCAAACTGAAAATATTTATAAAATCGAAAAACTCACTTTTATCCTACCAATAAAGTTGAATTGAAAGTGATCTCACTCAAACTTAACTCCGATATCTTTAAATTTCTAAGATTTTGACTTCATAGTATCAAATACTACTCCACACATTCCGCAAACTAATACTACCTCCGTCTAGGCATAGACCCGGTTCGGGCCGCCCGGCCCGCCACTGTGCTGGCCCGGAACCGGCCCGGTTCTCGGGTCCGGGTCGGGCCTAGGCCTGGTGGGGGGGCGGGTCCGGGCTCGGGCCTTGTATTTGGCGAACCGGCCCGGCCGGGTCGGGCCCGGGTCCGGGCCAAAAACTATTTTTTTTCTTCATTTTTTGGGCTTTATTGAGTTGGGCTTGATGTTTAGGACCGGTTTGGGGGGGTGGGGGTGGGGGGGGAGGGGGGGGGGAGAAAAGAATAGGAAAAAAAAAACCAAACGGGTGGCCCGGCCCGGCCCGGAACCGGACCCGGAACCGGTGGCAACCGGTTCGGGCTCGGGCCCAACAAAACAAACCCGAGGCCCGGCCGGGCCCAGGCCTGAACCGGCCCGAGGCCATCCCTACCTCCGTCTCATAATGGTTGTCCTCTTTCAATTTGGCACGATTATTAATAAAGTGGTTGAAAAGTAAAAGTTGTGATTCAGATTTGAGTAGAATAAAATGAAATGATAAGAATCACATATAAGTTGATAAAAAGAGAAACATGACATTCTTTTTTTTTTTTTGAAAGAAGACGATTTTATTCATAAAATAAAAAGTACAATGCAAGAAAGTAAATAAAAGAAAAAGTACAGGAAAGAAAAGCCAAGAAAAGTGAAGACAACAATTAGACCCAAGGAAAATTTCTGGACTGAGATCTAGTCCTCATACTGTGTCGCCTTTTATTCTTCTGAGATTTCCTGTAGATCTTGAGTTGTGTGTTGAGGTTGTCTGTTGGCAGGTAGTTCTCAGAGGTAACAAATTTTGATTTTCGACAAATCGGTCTATTGAATTTGGAGTTTCTAATTTCTTCCTGGTTTGATATAGGGGGACGACGATCGCTTTCGGTCGCATGCCCCATAAAATCATCTGTAAAGAAAGAGTCATCAGAGTGATCAAAACTGTCTGAGGCATCAGAGTAAGCCTGGAGAAAACAAAATTGTGGTTGTTTCTCTAGGGATTGTCGGTTATCGTCATAGGCTCTTTGAACTTCATAGTTAAATATGAGTTTTGAAATGGTGATTTCGTCAGAGTCAACCGAAGTCTCATGCTCCCAATGTCTGGGTTCCTCCTGCTCTAAATAAGATAAGTCAACAAAGTTTGAAAATATTTTCAAAAAGCTATTGATAGTGGAATTCTGTGGGCCCCTTGGGATTATGATAGAAGTCCCCTTTTCCTTAGCAATCTTAAGATAATAACCTGAATTGCTGAGTTCCAAAGAGACCGTGATAGGCCCGAATTTTCTGCGCTGTCTATGAGTAAAAAATGTTGAGCTTGTGAGATGTTGTATGAAATGGTAGATCTGGGCAGCATGTTCTGTTTTGAAGTTAATCCTTCGTAACGAGGACTTTTCTATTTCAAAAATTTCAATTTCATTGTCTCTGACAGCAAATCTGAAGAGTTTAGAATCAATTCTGATGGAGTCAAACCCCTCCTCTCCAAAAAAATTGAATTTTTCGGAATCCTTACAAGAGTCATATGACGTGGTAAGAAGAGGTACAGTCGGGTCTGTATGCTCAATTGTCTCAATGTCCTTGATAATAATTTGCTTTTCATTATTTGTTGAGGATGAGTAGACCCGTTCAGTTGATGTGCTGGCCTTGTCTTTGCCCGTGTCCGATAGGGGTGTTCGTCGGTTCGGTTTGGTCGGTTTTCGGTTTGGTCGGTTTTTTTCCCGAAAAGCTGAAACCGTAAACCGAACCGCACTACTTGAGTCGGTTTCGGTTCGGTTTCGGTTCGGTTAATATCGGTCGGTTCGTGCCGGTTTCGGTTAGTTTTAGCATGTTTTTGTCGGTTTTTGTCGGTCGGTTTCGGTTCGGTCGGTTTTTTAACCCCAAAGGTGAAACCGTAAACCGAACCGCCAATGTTTAATCGGTTTGAGTCGGTTTCGGTTTGAGTCGGTTTCGGTTTTGGTCGGTTCGGTTTCGGTCGGTTTGTCGGTCGGTTTCGGTTTTTCGGTTTTTTTGTTCACCCCTAGTGTCCGATACGCATCTCACAATTTCAGCCCATGTGAGGGATCGTACAGTGCCAGTAGAGTGAGTCTCCACGCCTAAAACACTATCTACGTCTCTGGTGGTTGCTGGCCCCTGCGCTGATATGAATGGAATCTCCGATCTGAAAACTGTCGGCTTGCATTCTGGACCATCGTGAGCTGTTTTCTCTACCACAAATTGACTACCAGCAGCTTCCCTATCACCCGAATTGGGCGGTGATGGAGATTCCGGGCGTCGCCTCCTTATTACCAGACTGGTTTGTGCCTTTCTACGGTCCTGCGATGATTCTTAGTTTCGAAATGGAAGTCGCTACCTGCTGTAGCATGCGTTCTTCGAATTTCTGGCGCTGGAGAGACCATGAGTGTTAGGATTTCTCTTCTGCCGTCTTCGTGATACGGTAGGAATCCTGGAGGGGTGGTCATTTCAGCCATTCGCTGGTGAGGAGGATACACCCTTTCCGTTAAGCGCTGGCATGTTCTAGGGGCTCTGTTATTATGTGTTTTTGTCCTATTTTCTTGCGGGTAATGAAATTGGCTCTGAGGGTGTGTGTAATTATGACGAACTTGAGAAAACGCTGGTGTGTGTGTAAGAAATCTCGCAGGTTCTTCTTCCATATCAAGAACTGAAAAACGATTAAGATGGACATCTGAGCATTCGTTACCTGAGGGGTTGTGTAGAAGCTTCGAGATTAGCTGATTGGAGCGCCTTCGTTTATGGGGGACTGTGCGCCAATGGTCATCCTTATTCCTAGCGATGGGAGTTTTAATCCTTTCCGGCGTGTGTCCTGGGAAGCAGGTGTGATTGCAGAAGCGACAAAACCAATTAAGGCTCTTTCTGGTCCCATTCCGGGTGCCTGTAGAAATTGCTAAGTGTCGTTCTTGTTTACATGTTTGGGGGTAATCGCTGGGGAAGTATTGGTTGTCTTGGACTATTTGGAGATATGGCCGACGGTAATTGTGTGGATGCCGGAGCTTCTCAAACATGGTTGTTTAGAAAATGGAAGCCCGAAGTGTAGAGAGGGATGGGAGTTTCTCTCTCTCCCAGAGAGAAACATGACATTCATTTTGGTACAACCTAAAAAGGAAAATAGAACAACCAAAATGGGACGGATGGAGTAGTTTAAAGTATTAGACAAATTTAAATTCAATTTTGCTGATTCCATCGTACTTAAAGTATAATATGTATTTTTAGAAATTAATTTTAACAACCCACATAATGTAACATGTAAGATAATGGAGTGAAATGAAATATAGCGTAAATGATGACCATGTCATTACTCATTACAATGGAATACCATCCACACATCCCGCAAACCTGCTCAGTAATAGTTTAATTTATTTGTATCAATCGAATAGGGGTATAACTTAATGTAAAGAAAGAAGCCTTCAACATCAGGCACTATAATCCCAAACGAAGTGGTAAAACACCGTTTAGCCACTTGATCTACTTGTGTGATGAGGCATAATTAAAAAACAAAAACAAAAACCTGTGCAGCAAGTCATTTCAAAACTCTCATAAGACATATCAAACAAAGAACATAAAACATCACTTATCTAAATGTGAATGGGCTTATCATAAGTGGCCATTGCAGCTTCTTTAAGAGCTTCGCTCATGGTTGGGTGGGCATGACATGTGCGTGCAATGTCCTCACTTGATGCCCCGTACTGCAAAGCCAGAACCGCCTCGTGAATCAGCTCACCTGCATTAGGTGACATGATGTGGACCCCCAATATCTTGTCAGTCTCCTTCTCGGCAATGATCTTGACAATCCCCTCAGCGTCGTCTATTGCTTTCGCCCTACTGTTGGCCATAAAAGGGAACTTCCCAACACGATAATCAACTCCTAGTGCCTTCACTTGTTCCTCTGTTTTCCCCACATATGCCACCTCAGGGTGAGTGTAAACAACACCGGGGACCATGTCATAGTCCACATGGCCCTCTTTTCCTGCTATGAACTCCACACAAGCAACACCATCTTCTTCTGCCTTGTGTGCCAGCATTGGGCCGGGAATGACATCACCGATAGCATAGACTCCAGGGACTTTAGTGGCAAACCGTTCGTTAACCAAGATTCTGCCGGTTTTGTCCATTTCAACCCCTATTTTTTCCAACTGAAGCCCAGAAGTAAATGGAACTCTACCAGCAGAGACAAGAACGACATTAGCTTCAAGAACGGTCTGCTCTCCACCGGCAGCTGGTTCTAGGGTCAACTTGACAGCGTCTGCTGAGCTGTCAACAGAGACAACCTTAGTCTTAAGCATGAATTTCATCTTTTGCTTCTCTAGGGTGCGCTGGAATTGCTTACGAACTTCACTATCCATAGTTGGAACAATATCAGATGCAAACTCAACAACAGTGACTTCTGAGCCTAGACGGGCCCAGACAGAGCCCATTTCAAGGCCTATATAGCCGGCCCCAATAACCACCAGCTTTTTGGGAATTTCTTTTAAAGCTAAAGCGCCAGTAGATGATACAATTCTTTCCTCGTCAATGGTTATTCCAGGAAGGCCTTTGACATCAGAACCAGTAGCAATTATAATATTCTTACCTTTGACAACAGTTTCACCTCCGTCAATCGTGTCTACTGAAATTTCTGAGGGTGAAAGGAACTTACCGTAGCCCTTGACATAGTTCACTTTGTTCTTTTTGAATAGACCCTCAATACCTCGTGTTAAGTTGGCCACAGCTTTGTCTTTTTGACCCATCATGGCAGGTAAATCAACCTCGACAGAAGAAAACTTCACACCATGGTTGGCAAATGCATGTGTGGCTTCATGATACATGTGTGATGAATGCAATAGTGCCTGAGTACAACAGACAAAAAAAGGCAAATAAACACATAAATGCCACACACAAATTGGTGCATAAAATGTTTCATAGCAACCAGATTTTTTTAGTGCCAGATAGATATGCAGAAATGCATTCTTCAAACCAGGTTTTCCTAGCACTTCCTGTATCTAATGCGCGCGCACACACACACGTTCTGGATTTGTTTCATGGGTACCAAAGACATGGTACTATAACTTCTATTATGTGTTTGTCTGTCTCTCTACCAGTTATGATCATTCTAGAATGCATTCAGCGCTTTAATAAACTCTGTGAGACTTCAATGTTTACTTATAATAGTTCTCATCCATGGAGTAGTACGCACTGCCCATAGCTATATAAATATACACCAAAAGAAAATAAAGATTCTTATACCAAGAAAGAAAGTCCAACTCGACAATCATCTTCATACACAAGTGGTAGCACCAAAGGACAAGGTTGTACAATGTACAATGACTTTCATAGTTATAATACGAAAGGAGACTCGGCTTCTGCTTCACCAGACACAGTTTCAAAAAGGGTGAGGTTCCCACTTCCTAGTGTACCACGTTAATACTTCAAAAATAAGTAGACGCAGACAGTGGGGGGATCTGGATGGTTTTTGAGGGGATTATCTGTTATTTGATAGTTGCATATGTGTATTAATATATGTGTGTAGACATACATCCATATTAATAGTTTAAGATGTATAATTAGTTAATATGTAAACACTTAGGCTCAAAATTACTTTGAAGGAATAAATAAGAAATTATGTACTGTTTATATCAATAGATAACAATTTTAACTTGAACCATGAAAAAGGAAAGAAAATAGTGGAAGGCTTAGCTTAAACACGGCAGCTCCTAAAAATAATTTAATAGCTTGAACCACTCCATTAACACGAAAGAAACAGTTTATCATGTAATTCAGTTGGTTTATAACAATTCAAAAAGAAGTAGACGCAGATTAGAAAACAAAAAGCATTTTACCGCAATTAAACATTTGACATCAATTAAAACACAACAGTGGACATTCCAACTATCTAAAATTCTAAATGCACATTATTCGCTTCACATTCACTTTGTATATTCATAAACAACCCAAGCTCAACAGTCGTCGAAAAACAAAAATCAGAATATATACCTTGAATTCCTCGGAGAAGGGGGGGCAGCACCTGCTCGCCCCCCCACCTCCTCCCCACCCCCAAAGCTCCACTGGTGGGTGAAGATATCTACAAATGTGTGCTATTGAATGATCATGGGGGGAGAAAGGCAAAAGATGGTTTTTTTTCACAGGGCGTGTATGAGTACTGTTTCGGGGTTAAGCCTAGGATGTTGTTGTTGTGGTGTGTCGGAGTTGTGGGTGAGTTGATGTGTTTAAGCATATACATTCGATTATTAAAGCTCAGCGCGTATCAAGATCATATCTGGAATGCGAAAGTGCAAATAATATCAACTAAACCAGTGTACACGAATTTCCCATTCCATTTTAAAAAAATGTTGCTATTGCAATCCTATAAAATCAGTTCCATGATTTCGATTTTAGCATATGAGCACTGCAGTAGTATAATAGCATGCCTTCATTTCCGGCTATATTAAGATAAAACAAAAATGTCATGTTTAACAAAATCGATATTGTTTAGAAAACAAAAAAAATTGTAGGGAAGTAAAAAAAAGCTTCATGAAATCATATAGCACGTTAAATGAAGTATGAACAACAAATTTTAAAATTGAGAAACTTTAAAATTCTATAGTTCATCAATTACAATTAAAATGTGAAAAGATTATGAGTTATATGAGACCTTAAATAACAAATGAAACATAGATTCTATCAAGCATTAACTGCTCTTGAATGGAAGTGAAGTTGCAGTGGTGTCTAGGGAGGGGTTGAGGGGTCCCGCAACAAATATTCAATGTATATACATGTAGATATACTTATACCTATGCAAAAATGAGTTCAAGTTTGAGCCTTTGGTACCCGTGCTAAAATATGTAATTGAATCAGCCATTGTGGAGTGCTGATTCAATTACATATTTACATCTAAAGCATGCTGTTAAAAACTTAACAGATTTTTCCGCCAATCAAATAATGATGTAATCCTAGAAATGGAGAAGCCTCATTGATCTTCAAAATATTTTCAATTTTATAATCAACAAAGGCAAAATTCAGTCGATCAAAGAAGCTTAACATAACCTCAATATTGCAAATGAATTAAACGGTTAATTAATCTCCAAAACGAATATATCGAATACAACTTATATCCGTATTGGCACAAGTACAATATTGAAATTATAGCCCTACCTTGGAAGGAATACACCCAACATTAAGGCAGGTTCCGCCGAGGGTTCCACGCTTCTCGATACAAGTGGTCTTGAGACCGAGCTGAGCCGCCTTGATTGCGGCTACATAACCTCCAGGACCACCGCCAATGACAACAACGTCGTTCTCCTCAGATCCCGACGCGAAGCCTCTGCTCAAAGAGAAAGTGTAGTACTTGGGGCTGCCATAGCATAGATGCCTCGACGACGAGAGAAAAGACGAAGACTTCCGTCTAGCAATACTCGCCATCGCCATTATCGCCTTCCTGATTCACAAATCGCTGAAAGATTCCTCTCTTCTCCTTTGATTAGGTTTTTCTAGTCGATCTCTCCCTTTTTGCTATAAAAAAATATTAATCCGTATTATGAATTTATTTATTACTCCGTAATATTAAACGTGGCAATTTGTTAATCCGGTGGAGTTGTGAAACTTTCGAGTGAGAATTGATCTTGGCCGTGCATCTATGAGACACTTTCTAATCTAGTTTTCAGTCGGACCTGACTTTTACTGCTAATCCTTGGTACAGAATTGAATATTGAAATGTGTAAACCTTTTTGTACCCTCATCAGTCTCTCCTTTTGTACAATTTTTGTAGAATTGTTTGTGAACAGACAATTTTTAATACGTCAGACAGACGAGTTTACAAAATGTGTACACAAAAATGTGTACCCCAAGCATTTTCATTAGATATTAGACAAAAAGAAATCTTCTATGCAAATTTGAGTGTTTGGTGCTTCAAATTTTCTTACTTTTGATTACAAAGTACTCCTATAATATTACATGGTTCCTACAAACTTTGTCATCTTTGACTTTTCAAATTAATGGTGATAACGTTTGAACCATGATTTTAATTAGTACAATATTATGAAAGTGGTAAGTTTATACTTTTATAAAAGTATTTTTTAACAAAGAACATTTTCATATAAATTTATATTATTAATATATTCTATAAAAATATATTTTTTGGTCAAAGTTGAGCATGGTTGACCAAATATTCAAAAATAGCAAAGTTTTAAGGGATGTAAGGAGTATTTTTAAGGGACATAAATAATTATTAATAATATCAATTTAGCTTCTAAATCCAATCATTTAGCTTCTTAATCAATTAGTTGTATGTTAGTTTTTATTTTATTTATTTGCACACTTTTTAGGTGTTGTGTTTTTATAGTGGCAAATGCATTTACTCATTTAGTAATGGTTGATTCATGAGCATATATATTGGGAGAATTAAAAAATGGTGTATTGTAAGATTGGTTTTGTAACACCACTAAGTTATCATGCATTCTGTCTAGTTAGGATAGTATGTTTACTTGACGCCCTAGACAAAATACCGTGCGATGCACGGAGTGTACTAGAGCAAAATAATAACTTTGGTTGAAATTAAATTTAATTAGTAATGATAGAGTATATGGGCTTGGATTCACGACTCACACGTTCTTGGATACACAAAGGCTCAAGCCCATCACAACACTGGAGACTTCCCAAACAATCTCGGTCCAGAATGAAGAAAACGACTTTGTCCGTACAGTCACCTCGGAGGATATCACCTTGGAGGTGGCACATCGGCCACGTAACTCAGGAGATCACAACTTATGTTCATGTTCAGTTCGCTCTAATACCATGTTCAAATAAAAAATAAGTTAACAATCCATGTATTCTCTGAGCGAAAATCTTTTGCCATGGCTGAGCGACAATCCAGTCATTCTCTCACATTCTCTGTGGCCTTTACAACCAATTGTACTCCACACTTTGGTTTGGAGACCTACATCCATCCAAATCATGCTCCACTGCAAAGCGAAACACGGTATAGATGAACCACGGGCAAAAACTATTAAAGGTTTTTTCCAAAGATCCAGCATCAATTTTTTGCGACTCATGCACCCATAAGTTACGATAAAATCTGAGCAAATCATATGTAGTTTTCTGGTAGGGTTTCACCACTTTTCTTACGACTGGTATGGGCTTCAAGAAATAGCTCAACAAGCTTCTTCAGGCTTTCCTTAGCCATTTACCAGCATCGACCTCATGGTTGAATGTGTCGATCATAATTTGAGTCTTATGATTCTCGATCTCATGCTTAATTGTAAGCATCATATCTAGACCACCGTGTACCACATCCAAGAACAAAGGGTGATGAAGCAATGCCTTGAGTGATAAGAGCACCATCGGGCTATCCTCATTCAGTAAAGATGACATGCTCACTATACCCGGATGGGGTATTTCATACGGACCGATGAAAAGCTTATGTAGTATATACCCCCAAGTCGTAAAAGTCTTGGTGTGGTCGCTTCATTGGGTCTGCTGGCATAACTTATGATCATGTTCAGTTCGTTGTGATACAATGTTAAAATAAAAATAAGGTAACAACCCAGTCATTCTCTGAGCGACAATCTTTTGCCATGGCTGAATGACAATCCAGTCATTCTCTAACATTCTTTGTGGCCGTTACCACTAGGGGTGGAAACAGGCCAGGCCAGGCCAGGCTTTTGCCTAAACAGGCCGGGCCTGTTTTAGAATATATAGGCCTGAGCCTGGCCTGTTACCTGTTAAAGGCCTGTTTTTTCGGCCTGGGCCTGGCCTGTTCAAAAGCCTGGCCTGGCCTGAAGCCTGCTTACCGGGCCTGTTAAGAAAAAAAATCAAAATTTCAAAAAAATTAAAAATGAAAAGTGTAAAATCCTTTTAATCCGCTATAAAATTTATTTCCCTAAATATTCACTAAAAAGTATAATAATACGTTAGTTTTGCTTTAGATATCTAATAATACATTATTATGGAGTATTATTATGTAGTTTATAAATTTCTATATACTTTAAATCTTGAAAAACTTTGAATTTCAATTACCTTAATAAACTATTAACACACTTTATGTATATTTAAAATAGTATTCTATTCTAATTTATAATACACACTCCCTATAAATACTATTATACCGATTTTGCTATAGTTGAGTATACCAATATAAATACAATATAAATATAAATAATACAAATAAATATGAATATAACTAGATATATATACATATATATATACACATATATAAATAGGCCGGCCTGTTAAGGTAAAAAGGCTTCAGAATTAGGCTAGGCCTGGCCTTTTTAAATAAACGGGCTTTTTAAAAAGCCCAAGCCTGGCTTGATTACTAAACAGGCCAGGCCAGGCCAGGCTTTTAACAGGCCAGGCCACAGGCCCCTGACAGGCCGGCTGGCCTATTTCCACCCCTAGTTACCACCAATTGTATTCCACACTTTGGTTTGGCGGCCTACATCCATCCAAATCATACTCCATTGCAAAGCGAAACACGGTATATATGAACCACGAGCAAAGATTATTAAGGTTTTTTTTTCAAAGATCAAGCATCCATTTTTTGTGATTCATGCGCCCATAAGTTACAATAAAATCTGAGCAAATCAGATGAAGTTTTCTGGTAGGGCTTCACCACTTTTCTTACATCTTGTATGGGCTTCAAGAAAGAGCTCATCGAGCTTCTTTGGTCTCTCCTTAGCGATTTACCAGCAACGGCCTCATGGTTGCATCTGTCGATCATAGTTCGAGTCTTATGATTCTCCATTTCATGCTTAATTGTAAGCATCATATCCAGATGATTCTGTACATCCAAGAAAAAAGGGTGATGAAACAATGCCTCAAGTGACAAGAGCACCCTCGGGCTATCCTCATTCAGTAAAGACGACATGCTCACTATACCCGGATGGGGTAGTTCGTAGGGACTGATGAAAAGCTTATGTAGTATATACTCCAAGTCATAAAAGTCTTAGTGTGGTCGCTTCTTTCGGTCTGCTGGCATAACTTGGGTTAGCTTAATATGGTTGTTACAGACTAAAATGCTACTCAGGTAGTTCTTTAGTTGTCCATGGTGGCCGACGCGGTCGGCCACAACACATATGCCTTGTAAGAGTTCCCTGACTAAATTTTTTCTCAACTCAGTAAGTTCAGCAAATTCAAAATCAAAATTTTCATTCATAAAGTATGAAAAGTGGTAATCCCTCAATGTCTGTAACGGTTGGAGCACATATGGAACCCCATGTAAATACTGTTTGGTGAAGTGGTAGGATGTGCTTAAGCGGGCGCAATTGGAATGATCTGTAGGAACAGTGTGAAGAATCACTGTCCCAAATTCATCAAACTGACATCTCAAGGTAGTTATCTTTGATGCCAAATCATATAAGCGTATAACATGATGGTCTTTGATGCCAAATTGTACGATAACACTATTTGTTAGGCCTGGAATATCACTACTACCAAACCTCAGAGTTCACAACCGTCAGCAAATGCCATTATTGCTACAAATAATTAAGGAGGAACAGTGCAAATGGGAGACGATAGAACAGTGTGCACCCAATGGGAGAGAACTATACAAATTACTAGGGTTCTTCTTTGGAACCAAGAACCAAAGAACCGGATCAAACTGTTATGATCCTGTTCAGTTCGCTTTTAACATATATTAGTTACATGTTAATGGTTCAGTTCATATTTCTTAGTAACAAGTAAAGGCCCGGCAAAGGCCTGTGCCTGATGAGGTTCCTCCAGAGAACGTGTGTACTGAAGAGTTTGTTCCTTTTTAATCAATTTGGTACGCAATTTTTCGAATGTGAAGCTCTCCGGAAAAAGACCAACCGAGGTAATAAAGGATTCATTGTCCCGTCCCAGGCCAAGTTAAGAACATTGACTTTTCTGCAGCCAGGCGTGAACTGATCGGACTAGGGGAGAATAGCGGAGCAATTCCAGGCACTCGTGGGAAGGTTGGACCGGCGAAGCTTGAGGTGGAGTCGGCTGTCGGAGACGGAGCTCTGCCGGTGGAAAACAGTGGAGGCGCTGGCGGACGTACTGAGGGAGGAGTCAGAGTCCAAGTGAATATTGAGGATTCCATGCGCTAGCTTCGGTTGAATTAAATGGCGGCGTCCATTGTTGAGAGAGCACCGGAGAGGCAGAGAAGAGAGAAGATCTGGGCATTGATGCAGGCGCTGAAGAAGATGAACATGGCAAGGTGAAGACTAGCGCTGCAGGGGAAGAAGATATATGTTTGCGGATCAAGTGTAGGAATGGTCATCTTCGTTGTAGAAGATGACTTTATGAGTCATCGGCTCCATGAGTCTATAACTTTATCAAATACACAAACAATTATTAATTCACCTGCAAAATTGGTGATTGTTATAATGATTTTCTTAAATTTTGGTTTTGTTTGCAGTAATTAGAATTTAATAATATATCGTATAATACATTTGAAGCATATTCATATTTAGCACATACAATATACATTTATATTATTTTTGGGGATTTTTTCAGCGGCACTCTTGGGTACTCTAATATTTCCAGGATATATA